TGTAATGCTATTTAAATTTGGAAGTACAAAGTTATACCTCGTAATTGAAGGAAGCGTCTGCTATTTAACCGTAAAGCAGTCAGGGTAGCAGGTTCTACACTCAATATGACATGACATTTCTTGTCATTTGTGAGCCATCCAAAAAGCTATTCACTGGACGTCTTCTAATCTCGTTCTGATCCCCGCCCAACAGGACCGTATTGAGGTGATCCAGAAGCGGTGTATCGAGCTCGAGTACCCGCTGCTCGCCGAGTATGACTTCCGTAACGACTCTGTGAACCCGGACATCAACATCGACCTGAAGCCGGTGGCCGTGCTGCGTCCCTACCAGGAGAAGTCGCTGAGAAAGATGTTCGGAAACGGACGCGCCCGCTCCGGGGTCATCGTCCTGCCGTGCGGTCAGTACGGGGACGGAAGGGGAGCCGAGAGAAAGGATAGAGGAGAGTTGAATAAGTGAATTAAGGAAGGTAATAACTAATAGCTGGGGTTATACAGGGTTACCTGGGAACAGCGTGGAGGGATATGCAGCCCTATGTAACGTCTTGTAGTGTAATTTGAACTGATGAACGGATGCTTCAGAGTGTCGGCTATCTGATTTTGCTACAACTTTTTAGCTTATTTTTGTTTACCCTTAATATTTTCAGCAGACTTTGACGTTTTTTTCGAGAAATTCATATGAGCCACCACTGATCCATTCCAATTTCCATTTCAACGCATTTATCATCTGCTCACTGCTGAATAAAACATACGCACGGGATTCTGCAAAGCCAGCTCACATTTGCATTGTGATTCGTAAGCCAACCTCATGGACACCCCACCCGATTCGGGAAAGTCCCTGCCCTGACCTGATTTCTCTCTGCCGTCCACAGGCGCCGGTAAAAGTTTGGTGGGCGTCACGGCCTGCTGCACGGTCCGTAAGAGGGCGCTGGTGCTCTGTAACTCGGGCGTCTCCGTCGAACAGTGGAAGGCCCAGTTCAAAATGTGGTCCACAGGTGAGTTTAGTGCTCAATGCTCATGACTCTGATTGGTCGGATGGTAACCGATCGAAGTTTCGGAGAGGCACTGCAGTTATGAAGTTTTGAAAAGAAAAAAACTTTAACTGCGAATCAGTTTTTTTTGCACTTATTTGCCGACTTTTCGGTCATGCTCATACATAACAAACTTCCTCGAGCCTCTGAAGTAAAATACGACCCCTTCTTCCCCTGACCCACGCCGTCTATCATCTGCAGCGGACGACAGCATGATCTGCCGGTTCACCTCGGACGCCAAGGACAAGCCGATGGGCTGCAGCATCCTCATCACCACATTCAACATGATCACGCACACGCAGAAGCGCTCGTGGGAGGCCGACCAGACAATGCAGTGGCTCAAGGAGCAGGAGTGGGGAATCATGGTGCTCGACGGTAAGGAACCGAGGGAGAAAGGGGAGATGGGATCACAGAGATGGGAGAATATATGACGATCAAATTAGTGATTTTTTGTTGGTGTGAGGACGTATGAGTGAAATGTTTCGGCGCTACTTTGTCCGGCTTCACATGTTTCTTATCTTGCTTTCCCGCTACGCACCCTGATCTTTATCATGTTCTGTCCACCAGAGGTACACACCATCCCTGCCAAGATGTTCCGGCGCGTGCTGACCATTGTACAGGCGCACTGCAAGCTCGGATTGACGGCCACCCTGGTGCGAGAGGATGACAAGATCGCCGACCTCAACTTCCTGATCGGTATGTGGCGCACGGGTGTGAGGAACTGACTTATATCAACTGGAGCCGTCCTCACTCCTAATCTTCTGCTGTCTCTGCTGAGGGACTTTGTTAATTTTGATTGTCCACTCGAGATCAAATATATGACGATAGATGCTAAGTTATGCTATTGGTTCGAATCCAGTGTTATTGAATCCAGCTCTGAAACGGCCAGACATTCAGAGGTGGCCTCCACTTCAAATTCGCGTCTTCGTAGCCTCTTTGACTCTGAGGAGTGCTAACCCCTGGTCCAGCCCAAGTTTTTTTTTTCTTCTCTGGCCTCTAACCCTGACCTGTGACCCCCAGGCCCGAAGCTGTACGAGGCCAACTGGCTGGAGCTGCAGAAGAACGGCTACATCGCGCGCGTGCAGTGCGCCGAGGTGTGGTGTCCGATGGCGCCCGAGTTCTACCGCGAGTACCTGGCCTGTCGCAGCACCAAACGGCTGGTCAGTGGCGGACGAGGGGCGGTCGGGAACGGGATTGGTAAAACAATAGAACAAATAGATATGAAACGGACGTGATTGTGATCATGGCCAACTACTATCTCTAGATAGGTGTGCCGATTTTCGTACCTCCTTAAATTGCGTGACTTTTTGGTAATGGGAAGTTACCACAGTGCGGCCGCGAACCACAATCCTAATTCGTGTGTACAAATGTTATGGTTGGACTTTTTTCTGACTTGCTCGAGTCGGTATGTGACTATATCGACCTGCGACTTTCAGCTGCTGTACGCCATGAACCCGAACAAGTTCCGGGCCACCCAGTTTCTGATCCGCTACCACGAGAAGCGCTCGGATAAGATCATCGTGTTCTCGGACAACGTGTTCGCGCTGAAACACTACGCCATCAAGATGAACAAGCCGTACATCTACGGACCGACCTCGCAGGTAACCATGGGAGAGCTGGCGGTCGTAACGGCGCTCGTAACGTGGAATATGTCTGGTATCTGGCGTGGAGAGTTACCATGTTCTGTGTAACTGATGACTCAGCTGCTAGCTGTTCCATTATGCACGAGGGGTAGGTACTTGTTGCGTCGTGTCGCCATGGTATTCTGATACATGTGAGTCATCAAATGCATCGAGATGTGGCTGAGACTTTCACCTCAGATATCCATTCTAAATTAACGAAATCATGTGACCGGAATGCGGCAAATATATTTAATTAAGTATGACCACTCAATAATCATTTCCAATGCTTCCACAGAGCGAGCGGATCCAGATCCTGCAGAACTTCAAGTTCAACCCCAAGGTGAACACCATCTTCGTGAGTAAGGTGGCCGACACGTCGTTCGACCTGCCGGAGGCGAACGTGCTGATCCAGATCTCCTCCCACGGCGGGTCCCGCAGACAGGAGGCGCAGCGGCTCGGCCGCATCCTGCGCGCCAAAAAAGGTCGGTGCATAGCCGAATGGTGACGGACTGAAATGGAATTGCGAAGTCCTGCTAGTTTTAGCAGTGGTTTTTGGTTTCGACCTGGTTTTACGCTGTAAGCTTGAACTTTATCGCCGGTTTGGAATTATTGCATGGGACAGAGTAGGATATTATCACATTTTGATCATAATGTCCCCGCACTTCATGATTGATGATGAGCATTAATAGCTTCTGAATTCCGGACGCCCTTAGACGAAATATTTGTCTCATCATTAACAATGTCTACCTGGTTTTCGCTCACCCGCCTATTTTTTCCAGTCTTTGATTGTATTTCATCCTCAAGCGATGCAACCGTTCCCAATCTTTAGCACCACAAAACCTTTACATCACCTTCACCGCCACCGCCAGGCGCCATCGCGGAGGAGTACAACGCCTTCTTCTACACGCTCGTGTCGCAGGACACGGTCGAGATGAGCTTCTCCAGGAAACGGCAGCGCTTCCTCGTCAATCAGGGCTACAGCTACAAGGTCATCACGCGCCTCGCCGGCATGGACGAGGTAAAAGCAGGACTTGATAGGCAATTAGTGGTTTGAATGGGGCCCGCTTGAGATCTAGCTTTTGTTGTTGTTGTTGTCGTTGTTTTTTTTTTTTTTAGTTGGTATCTTATCGCGGAATGGGAACAGCTCTTGACTTGGTTTTGGTAGATCGTTTACTTTTTTGAGCCACAAATGAAAGCTGTTAGTCTGATGGCGGATCTGCTGATAGGTAGTTTTAAATAAAATTTGCTCGTCGAATCCCTCCGCACCCTCACCCCTGTCACGCTCTCCGCCTTCCCAGGACCGTGACCTGCTGTACAGCGGCAAGGAGGAGCAGGGCCAGCTGCTGCAGCAGGTGCTGGCCGCCAGTGACCTGGACGCTGACGAGGAGCGCGTACCCGGCGAGGGAGGCCGGCCAGGCACCTCGGGAGGCTTCCAGCGCCGCGCCGGAAACATGGGATCCATGTCCGGCGCCGACGACGCTCTGTATATGGAGTACCGGCGCAATATCAAACATCCGCTCTTCAAGAAGTTCCGCATCAAATGAGCGGCGCCGCTAGGCAGTCTGTGGAAACGGATGCCCGGTGGAGAGCGAAGATGGTAGAGAACACAGGCTTTCCAATGATGACCAGTGTCTGAACTGGAGCGCTATCTGTAGCGGATGACCGTGCGATATGCGCCTGAACATTGAACGACAAAACCTAGGCCGGCGTGTGCCAGCTGCTGTATGGCTGTGGTTCGAATGCTCTGGTACTCTCTTAACGTAACTAGCCGGTCAGTGTAACTATGGGTAGGCGACTGTCCTTCCCCGAAGAGGACCATCCGGCGCAGCCCTTAAACCCAGTGCAGTAGGACTACTGTGATCATTGCGAGTCGCACCATCAGGTGATGGAACTACTGGGTCTGCGAGGCCTTGATGGATTTGTTGACGACAGTTTCTCGAATCTGTGCGTTCCAGCGTTTGTCGAGGGTGTTTGCAGTTTTGTACGGACGTGTGAAAGCACAGAAGTGACAAGTTAGTTGTGAGCATTAATCGGAAATCTGCAAATATTTGATACTGAGTGAAAACGATTTTACTGTTTGCGCGAAAAGCCTCTTCGCATGAAAGCAAGATGATCAAGTGGCATGGTTTGATTGAAGCGAGACGTGTTCCTATATTTATGCGTGATGTGACTTAGTATGAATACAGAGCAGCTTTCATTATTTTGTCTCACGGGCTAGCGAAGTATCTAGCTCGAAGGCACTACCTACAGAACTACGTGCACTACACTACCTTCAACTACATGCTACGCGCACTTCTTCAGTATGCGTTGACCGTACTTGGGCCGTACAATTATCATTTCAAATACGGGATGCGTCATTATTTGGTGTATTCACAGTCATATATAAATGGCAATACGGCGCGACGCAATAAGGCTCACTATGCATATTCCCTTTCGCACAATGTCTTATAATGTCCACCGCTTATATCCGATTGCATAGTTTGTGATGGTAACATACTCGGGGCTCATTAAGAGGTACACGAGCATAATACGAGTAGATATAGCACGGAATGCATAAACATGGAGCAGTGGTACAGCAGAGATTACGCGCTTATTGCCAGACAGATCTTCAATCCTGATTGACAACATTGGACCATGCGGAGGAGTAAACTCCATTGTTCAATTGCTTAGCGTGTACGAGTAAAAGGTGACAATTCAATTTATATTTGAGTACATGGTCATCCATCTACACGCTATCAATCCGGTAACATAGAGATCGTGGCATACAATAGAGGACCGTTAAACCATTATTGTTCGATACATTTGATAAGCGCCGTGTCCATAGTATGTATCGACCTTGATATCTTGGCAGGTTCTAAACATGGTATTGTCCCGAGTAAAACAGCCCAGGGTATAATGATACGTCTTATTTTACCGGAAATATAACTACCGAGTAGATAATCTGTAAACACACACCATAATACTGAGGGTGCTAACGAGCGTGACCATTACGAGAACAGAGATCCCATGGCTGTCTGCATCACCCCACAACTAGCACAGGCAGTTGGCTCACCGATCAATACACAGAGTATGCAAACCAAATATAATCCCGTCAACGAACCGATGTACACAGTACATACATACCTCAGCCCGCCGTCCCACCACTGAGTCTAATACTGAAGCCGCTCGGGCAGAAAGACGGTTAGTCACAGCTCTCTCTGAGGCGTCCCCAACACACGTCATCCTCTCGCGAGTTCTCCGATCGGCCTGGAGCCCATGGACCCAGTACTCTGGCAGCCGACAGTCCCTGAGCAGCATCAACATTGCTCGCTAGACTGAGCGCGAAACAACCCTACAATGTCGCCCTAACGTGACACCAGGCGAAAGGACCTGTGACCTGATACATTAGCTTCACGAACCATCAGTGCTCAGCGAATATAAAACCAGCGTGTGCCGGGAATGTTATCGGCCGTTGTGGCCACAGCCACGGCTATGCTCATTTGTACACGTTAGAGTGGGCCCTTATGCCAGTCGCACAGCCACGTCGAGCACCACTCGGTCAAGGCCTCTGACACCCACACACCGACACAGCCTTCAGATCCGGCCCACGCCCCCCTGTGACCTCCTCCGACGCTCCATGTCCCCGCCTCGCCACGTCAGACGACCTGGACAGAGGCGCGGCGCCGCTGCTCGAGCCGGCGGCAGCGCGCACAGCCGGCCGCCTCCGGGTAGCAGAGGTAGTGGTAGCAGGCGCCGCAGCCCGCACACTGGCGCACCTCGGGCACCTCGAACGGGAACAGCACCTGCTGGTGATGGCACGCCTCGCAGTGGAACGCCCGGCCGCAGCACAGCTGGTGGACAAAACGACGCCACTGAGCGCGCAGCCGGCCGGCCAGGGAGCGCAGGCGGCGCGGGCAGCGGCAGCAGCGCGCCGCCGGCCGCCGCCGGTGGCGCTCCTCGCGCTGCCGCTGCCGCCGCTCGGCGCAGCCCCAACAGTGGAACCCGCGACCGCGACACAGCTGAGGGCGGCCCCAGGTCACCGGTCAGGTCAGATGGGATCAGTGGGGGACGGAGCAGCCCCGGCAGGCGGACAGAAGCGACAGCCAGCAGCCAGCCAGTCCAGTGCAGCTACATACAACAGCACCGCAACTAGGCAGTGGCACAGTTGGGCAGAAATAAGCGCGGTTATACTGCATACACCGTGAATTATAACAAGCGATACCCGAATACCATGTGTTGAATATGTTAACATATCAGCGTAGCGTTAATTGTGCAACTGTATAACCATTCGTACGCACCTGATTCCATGTATATACAATGTGTACAGTTCATGAGGAAAATATAAAGAGGAGAGAAGATAAAGTTACAGTACGCCAGCCACCTCTACATTCACCACATGCACAAGGCTACACAATGCCAGGCGGCATATCACATATTCATAGAATAATCATAGATGAGCAGTTTCCCACGGCACGGAAAGTAGCGACAGAATGAAAATAGCTCCAGCCAGCCGATCCCGACAGCACATCAGTAAGTAGAATAATACCCATTACCCATGGGTGTAAGACACCGGGTGACAATAGTCCGTACAGAACGTGAGAAGATTGCCTGTGACAGGTCGATCGTGGCGTCCTGTGACAAAACAGCCATGAAGGCAAAAAAGGCAGGACAGAATGCAGGATCATCATATGTTGACGCGACGCGCACATGCCACGCACATTCGGTAGCGTTCGACCCGTACACCAAGCAGCGAGAGCTCTAGTGTGGCATAAATGGGGGCCGGGTAGGACAGGACGACAGGCTAGGATAAAAAGGGATAGGAGGATAGAACAGGAGATCAATAATTAGGCAGTCAGATGGTAGACCCAGCACAGAATCGACCCAGCACAGAATAACTACGCTGTGTGGAATGATAAAAGGAACACGGGCTCCTTACAACCTAACTACATCAACATCTACGGTAAACGGGAGCTGATATGACACACGATATGATGCGTCAGGTCAGAGCAAACATCAGAGCAAACAAATACAGAGAAGTGGCAGCTCCGCAATTACGTGCAAGGACATCCAATTCGCCAAATCTGTCAACAATAAAATGTAGACAAATACTGGGAAAAGATGAAAAGTTCTCGTCCCAATCGTGCAAGATTATTTTACTAAACGTGCGGAGCTAAATTGCTGAATAGTGGGTATATTATCAACCAACAGATATCTACCACATTGTGAATGCTGACTGAAGACTCTTACAGCCCTTCGACACATAATAATATGCATCTGTCGAGTCACGTACAATCTAATTTCATATCATAGCATATGCATTGATCGGGCACTCCGTGGAGGGCACCAGACCTAAAAATCAATTTCTTTGCGTGCAGGACTTGTCCTTCACTCGGTGTTCGTGATAGTGCAGACAAGGTCGGCCCAGTGTTTAGCCGTGATCTGACGACATTTCTTCAGGTATAAAATACATACACGCTACCTTTTAGCAATGCTACCCCAATACCAAATACCCCTAAAACCCCGTGCCCCGCCATCTGCTCCCATATGCTCTCGGTAGCGACCGACAACCAAAACCTCCCCGCAGCCACCCACTCCCCTTTCTAATGACGTTACACTATGAGTTATGACGTCACCCAGCCATCAGCTGGCTTACCTGACAGAGTCGACAGTGTTCCAAGTAGGCGTTGTACTTTTTCTGAAGGTCGTTGGTCAGCACCCTGCTGTTGGCCTCGACGAGATCTCGCAGGGAGTAGAGGTCAATCTCATCCATGATGTAGGCATCCGGCAGTGGATGGGTGCGCAGCAACCTGTCAGGGAGAGTGAACACTTAGCAAGACTGCGTGATAATGCCGAATTTATTTTAAGGAGCTCGGAAGTAAATCTCCCATCGGTGATGTTCTGCAGGTGACTGTACAAATGGACTCACGAGTCACGGATACACTAGTAAGTGAGCTGTGATATAGTGAACTCTGGCAGCTCACTGTACCAAGTTCCGTTTTTACCCAAAGTTCCCCTGGCATCTCCACGTCCACCTCACTCACTGTTTGGCGAAGCGGCACGACCCGACGTATTTCTGCGCCGAGCTGAGTCGTCTCCGCAGCACTCGGCACTGGTGTAGATCTGCGTGGTTCAACACCGACGCGTTGATGGCGTTCACGTGGAACAGAGGGTCACGCCAGATGGATAGCAGAAGTTGGTGGGAGAATATAGACACCGGGTACCTGGCGGAGAGGGGTGGAGGCCGGTTAGATGTCGCTTCAGCAGCGTTTATGGCGAAGAATTTGACGCCGCACAAGACGCCGACATAGCATGCATTTATTTTTTGTCGTTCGTTGGACAGCCAAAAACAAGAGAAACTAGGAAATCTAACTTCATATTCTGAAAGCAGGCGCATGCCAGCAAATGGGAATCATTTAAATGGATCACTGACGAGTAAACGCGAACAAATCCTACAACCTGCCGCTCCGACAATCAATATCAGTTTAATTCCTTCCGCACCGGAAGCAGAACAGTTTAAGCGGGCACTCACATGGTATAGTCGTGTTTGTGGATGATGCGCGCCGGAATGTAGAACTGCTGGTTGCTATGACAACCGGTGCAGAAGTAGCGCCCCAGGTACTCGCACCAGCGGAATTTCTTGGCGAGGGACGGTGACACCTTGAGGCCGCAGCCGGCACAGCGGTGGGACTGACGGGCCATCGCCACCGAGCGTCTGGGAAAGGGGTAGGGGGACAGCATGAGTCGGCTAGATGGAGATTACTGGACTAGCGTAAAGCAGCAGCAAGAGCTGAGACAAGTGGTGGCTGCAATACTTGTGATTGTTATACATATATTTCACGCGATTGATGGTCGCTGCTTACGAAAATGCAAGTTTAATCGCTTGCCCATTTATACAGGTGAGTGGTGACATCGAAAGCAGGCACGATTGTTTACTGTCGACTCTGTAAAAAGTGGACTGACAATAAAACCATGCTCACAAGCTTGACTAGTTCTGATTCAATTACACAGCAAAATACCAAACTAACCACAGCAGTGCACGTCACCAGGGCTCCCACGCTACGGTACTGACTTTCCCTGTTTGTGAATGGAGAATATGATCTGGGCGCGCGGTGGCGCCCACTCGGCGGTGCCGCGGAGTGTGACACCCGGCGGCGCCTTGCCCGTGGAGCTGGTCGGTGAGGTCCGCTCGTCCGGCTCCCCGCGATTGGCGTCCAGACTGGGCATCGGCAGCAGCTAGGTAAAGAGAGGAGAAGGGGGCGATCAGACAAACGCTGGGTATGATCTGCGACCCTTTTCACAATAAAATGTTACATTGCACATATTCTAAAGGCCAATGAATGGTGGCTTAGAGAACCGGAAAGTAGAAAGACTCAGTCTCTTAATTAGGGTAGGGTGGGGTAATTTGAACATGTGGGGCAATTTGAACATAGTGTGAATAACACAAAATTACGGAAAATCCATAAGTGGCATGACAATAAGACCAATGAGAGAAATTATCGTAACTAAAAGGGCTATCATATGAACGGGGTTTAAAGTTTCAGGGAATGAAGATGTTGACGCACAGTGCAAAAAATCAATTTCGCAAGGATAAACGCCTAAGAACACGTCATTGCAACTTCAATGCAGCGCAAAATCTTGCATTGCTAGCGCCTAATACGCAACGGCTTTTGTTGTACAATGACCTAATCAGTGCCTTCAATCCACGAAATTTGCTTTTGGACCCTGTTTTTAAAAATGGCAAAATAACTATTAGCGTGGGGTAATTTGAACATAGTGTGAGGATTTCAATGAAGACAGGGATAACTCCGAAAAAAACAACGCTCCCAGTTTTTTTTGCCAATATTTTCGACCCAAAGCAGTAGCAGATAAGTGATGCCAGTTTTATAACATTTACGTCTAATATCCGTCTAATGTCCTGCATTTTCGTTGATTTACCGTCCAAAAATGTTAAACTCAACTATTTGTCCAAATATGCCCGAAAATTATGCAGCTATCAACACTCAAAACCGTCATTTGTATTGCTTATCATATAATTTTACCAGCCGAAAAGTGTTCATTATATTGAGAGCTTAACAAGCTTTCCATTCGCCAATCAATGCTACGCACGATTACTTGATAAAATGCTTAAGTGTGGCAGGCCATCGCCCAATGTTGTCCAGACTACTATACCTTTGTGCAATCAATTCCGAATTGGACATTTTAAAGCATTGGAATTCCGAACGTTCAGGTTCCGATTGGCACCACTATAACAGATTAAGTAAGGTTTGGTAGAGTTTTTACCGAACTGTGATGATAGACGTTCTGTTAATTGAAGAGAGGCGAATTTTGTCAACTGACCGGTGTGCAGCGTGCAGATATTGATACTCTGCAACTGTTATTTTTGTTGTTGTGTTGATTTTTCAAATGAAGGTTTGTTTAGAATTGCTCTGCCTATTCGTTTATGGGTCAAACGACATCGGTGCTGGCGAGACTATCGTTTTTATGGCAGGTAAAGGCAGTATGTTCAAATTACCCCACGGTGGGGCAATTTGAACACACCGTGACTTGGTGGAGAAGTGATGCTATGCTATTCAAGGTATGCTCGGCTCGTCCAAAAATGAGGCTTGCATGGTGAAAGCAAGGGACACATGCGCTACTGAAACAGTTTTTCTTCATCCAGGGTTGAGCTGGAATTTGGTACAACGAAGAAGACGTAAAAATATGTTCAAATTACCCCACACTACCCTATTATTCTGAGCGACATGAAGTTGTTATTCTGACATCATCACTCATTGATTAACAATGTCAGAACAGCTCGAGATCAAGAGACGAACCAGATACTGAAAACGGCGGCCACACAAACTAATGCGTCGCATATTGTGAAAAAGATGATCCGTGACCACATCTGAGAACGGCAAGCTAAAAAGTCGTTAGTGACGTTACTGGTTTATGATGACCGACAAGGATATCAGCGTGGCCTCTGTAGCACATACCCAAAAGAACCACTTGTGGGCTGTAACACACATAAGTACAGACTGTACCTGACATGTTTTACAAACATTTATACTACACCTAACGCATAACACCTAACATAACAATATCGCTCAAGTTGAACAAGGCATTCATCAATCTAATTAACTTTAAAAAGGAAAAGGACGTAAAATCTTACAAACACATCCACTGGAAGCGTCCACCAAAAAGATGTTGCCATCTGGTGATTGAATGGCGTGCCTCACAACAGATCCACCACCCCTTCCACCCTCCCCGCGCACTCACGCTCTGCGGCACCTCATCCTCCCCGACCAGCCAGACCAGGTCGGACGCCTTGGGCAGCTGTTTCTCGGGGAAGCGCGACAGAAGCGACAGCGCTATGTTCTCGGCGGTGGCGGAGCGCGGCGCCGGGGCCAGCGGTACCGGCGGCTGAGGCGGCGGGGGGTCCGGCTGACTGCTAGGGATGGAGACCGGGGCAGAGCGGCGGCCACAGCCGGGGACGACGGGCGCAGAGACGCCACCTGCCGGGTACAGCGGGACGGGGTCAGGAGACTCGGCCAGACTGGGTCACACGAGTCTGACGGAACTGACTCACAAGTCAAAGTGGACCGACTGAATAAATCACACTCTAGTCAGTAACAAGGAAAGAAAGTGAAAGTAACTTGACGCCTTAAGTCCAAAACCACTTGCGCTCTGGTGCGCTCTGGTGCGCACTGTGCAGATAAAATGGCTGGAGGTTGCAGAGGGAATACCAGCAGAATATTGAGGCGATAAATCTGATAAAACTCTGCAGCTTTCAACAATACATGAGCCTAACTTTCCATGACAAAGTACAACATATCCGTGACCAAATCGCACCTCATTTCCTTCCACCAGAGTCAAAACAAAGCGCGGAAACATTCCGCTAAAACCACGGTACAGTGGCACTGGTAGCGCGGACAACACTCTAGAACAGCCCAATCCCATCGACACTCGAGACCGGACCGGGCTTCACGAACTAATGGTTCAAGTCCGGTCCGTCCCATCGACCCATTGACTGTCATCACGCCACGTTTGACTCACCGGGGTCGTGAACGGCTGAGCTCGGGGGTGTGTCGTCCGTCAGTTCCAGATCGGAGAGGCCCGAACAGGACGACGGGGAGCCGCTGGCTGCCGGGGGACAACGACAGAGGTCAATCGAGGTTACAGGATATGTGGAGATGAGCGCAAGTCACCGAGGGTTAAGATGGAGGTGATAACAGGTCTGCGCAAGTGATAACTGAATCAGATAGTGGAAGGCTTAGCAGCAGCGTAAATTACGTAACGGCAAAGAGAACATATTTTGCGGTACATACACAATCGGGTTACCCGAATTTCAGTAAAACGTGATAAAAATAAATACCAGGCGATAGACTACTCAAAACACGCCTAGCTCATTCCTCACATCTTCATCATTCTGAAAGGCGAAAGCCTGCATCATTTCATGATACCCAATCCAACCGACATCCCCACCTCATGTTTATTCTCCTGTCTATCAGGACCGACAGCAGAGGCAGAAACGCAGTCAATTGCGCACCATTTCAGCACGGACAAGCCTGCTAACCAGGCCCCTGCCTGAGCGGCCCATCACTGCATGGTGCCGACCGGACCGGCCCAGAGCACGGCTCGGGCGGACCGCGTGACTAGCGCCGTATAAACAGAGTGCCAAGGTCGCGAGGTCCGTCCGACCGTCCGTCCCAGGCCGGGAACAGCTGGGTGACACCGGTACGGCAGGGGGTGTTTAAGGGGTGAAATTAGCAATCGAATGTGTCTGAAGTTAATCTCGGGGAATAAAGATCGCCAAACGGCATGCGATCGCAGCTGGAGCCGACAAGTGTAGGTATTTGATTTTGTTATTTCTTTTATTTCTTATTTTTAAAGAGCCACATCAATACGCCACACATCTCTGGTGCTTTTCAAACATAAATGCAAACCAGGTTTATCTTTTCATCTTGTTCTGTTTTTTTTTTTTTTTTTGCTTACATACAGATAAAAACAAACACGGCAAACCACAGCAGTCACCGTGCGATTCGCCACCAACTTGAATTCAATGAACCTGTACCCTATTCAAATGAACCTGTACCCTATTCAAACAAGTGACTCAGACTCCCCACAACCAAATAACAGAGTGTGACTCATCCTGACCAAAAACACCATCCCTCGCTCCGTGCCCGCCGCATAGCGCAGCGTGCCTCCACCTCGTGCTGCACACGTGACATCCTGCGCGGCTCGCTGTCCCCGCCCCTCCCGGTCACGTGACTCACTGTCGCTGATGAGTCGCTCCCGGTCGGAGGCGCCCGACGCCCCTCGCTCCACCAGTCGCCGCCGTAGGTCACCAATACTGGCTGTCGGGTTCGACCGACGCCGCTCTCCCCCGGACTTTGACAACATTCGCATCTGCCGGAGGGGAGACGCAAACAGGAGGGAGTTAGGCGTAAGAGGTCACGTGAGAGGGAATGGTCCGCTTTGCGATGATTGTCTCAATCACGTGATGTGGTGGAGTTTGTAAACTGGGTTCATTGTTCGGCTGTGTGGCGAACGCGTCTGAGATATGACACGAGTGGAGATGGTACACGCGTGTCAATTGCCGGGATGTAAGTCGCAAACACCGTGGCCATCGGTAGTAAACAAGATAGTACGCAGGGAACTGGAGGCACAGGAAGACAACGGCACTTCGTAACTAAACCATGTCACGCAGATCAATGCAATGACACCAAAGCCGAGAGGTATATGTAATGTGTTTATGATATAATTGATATACAATTAAGATATACAATTGAGAAGTTCAACCAAAATAAAATATGCAACACCCGACAACGAATGGCGTTATACATCGGGAATGCTTATGAGTCATTACCTACCTCTGATCCGACCATCTCAAAGGCTGCGATGAGCGACTCCGATATCCGGAAGTGGGCGTTCTCTCGGTCCAGCTCTGCCACGTTCCGTTTGAACTCGTGTGAGCCGAGGAAGTCAGTCAGCGACTGACCGTCGCGCGGCTTCGGGAAATATCCGTCCAAGCCGTACACCAGCGAGTGGCCGCCGCCCGACTCGACAAAGCTCGGGTAGTGCTCCCCGTGACGGCCTCGGTACGGCAGCGAGCGCGGGATGAAGCCCAGCTGCTCGTGCTCGGACGGAGAGGGCAGCGTCTCCTCTGCGGGCTGCGTCGGCGGCCGGGACGAGGTGGTGGCCGCGCGCACCAGCCGCCGGCCGCCGGACGGTGAGGCGGCCACACGCGCCGGTCCAGCGCCTGCGTATGTGGCTACGGCTGAGGCGATGGCGGCGGCTGTGACGGAGGCGGGCACCGTGGCCGACTGGGAACGACCGTGTGTCGGCCTCTTCGGTACGGCGCCCGTCGGCCGGCTCTGCGCGGCGGCAGCGGTCGGACCAGAGGCGGCGGGAGGCCGCGAGGGCCCAACGGGAGGCTTACATGCGCCAACCGAAGCACTATCCGCAGCCGGCGCCGCACTGTCCGTAACATCCTTCTCCAGAGCTTTCACATCCGTCCGCGCTGTCGCCGGTGAGGTGCCTGTGGCTGCGGCTGCGGCTGCGGCCGCGGGTTCTGCGGGCGCGGTGGGCCTTCGTCGGCGCGTCAGGCGCTCGCTGTACCGCCGCCGCCACCGGCTGGGCGCCCCCTCCTCCGGCGGCGGAGCGTAGTCGATCTGGAGGATCAGCGGCGCCAGCGGCGGCCGGTCGGGCGGCGGCGGCGCCGCCGGCTCGGCTGCCAGTTCCGGCCAGCTGCGCGCCCGACGCATGACGGGACGGCAGACGGTTCCCGTGAGACGCGCGAGCAGATCGACTCTATCTTGCCCCAGGCAGCCTTCTGCTGGCACTGCAACAGGCTCCAGGGGCTTGCCAGTGGAGTCCCTCTGTGGTTGGGTTGGCAGCATGACTAACTAGCTTAACTGTGGAATAAAACAAATGATTACCATCAGCAACTACACAGCAACACCAACCCTACATTATGAACTAGACATATAGGTACATTATAATACTGGTGAGTTTAAGTAGAATAAGGATGAGGACAGAATTACAAGTACTTAGAATTTTGAAACCCTGTATGCCAATGATCTATCAACTAAATTTGTTCTTTCAACACATTGAAGAATACAGGCAATACTAACCTATCTCCCAAGTCCCATAGAACTTTTAATCACCAACCCTTTCTAATGATGATGAGAGATGACGACGAGCAGTGATGATGAGCGAGGAACCAGTGGCGCAGCCAGGGGGGGGGGTCAGAGGGTCAGCTGACCCCCCCGAAATTTCTGACAGGGGCCCGCTCTGGGATAGCGAGAGAGAGAGAGAGAGAGAGAGAGAGAGAGAGAGAGAGAGAGAGAGAGAGAGAGAGAGAGAGAGAGAGAGAGAGAGAGAGAGAGAGAGAGAGAGAGAGAGAGAGAGAGAGAGAGAGAGAGAGAGAGAGAGAGAGAGAGAGAGAGAGAGAGAGAGAGAGAGAGAGAGAGAGAGAGAGAGAGAGAGAGAGAGAGAGAGAGAGAGAGAGAGAGAGAGAGAGAGAGAGAGAGAGAGAGAGAGAGAGAGAGAGAGAGAGAGAGAGGGACGGAGGGAGGTGAGAGGTCCTAATATAATCGGACCAGCCCGCTTCGAGAAATGCCTACTGGGACACCACGGGTGATGGTCCATGGGCCCCAGGTGCAAAGGGCCCGGGTCCCTGGGTAGATGGGGCCCGGACCCCCGGGTAGATGGGGCCCAGACCCCCAGGTAGATGGGCCCGGACCCCCGGGTAGATGGGGCCCGGGCCCCCGAGTGGATGGAGCCCGGGCCCCCGGTGGATGGGCCCGGGGCCCCGGGTGGATGGAGCCCGGCCCCCGGGAGAACGGAGCCCGGGCCCCCGGGAGAACGGGGCCCGGGTGGACGGAGCCCGGGCCCCGGGTGGATTGAGCCCGGGCCCCCGGTGGATGGAGCCCGGCCCCCACCCGGGAGGACGGGGCCCGGGCCCCGGTTGGACGGAGCCAGGGCCCCGGTTGGACGGAGCCCGGGCCCCCGGGTGGATTGAGCCCGGGCCCCCGGGTGGATTGAGCCCGGGCCCCGGGTGGATTGAGCCCGGGCCCCGGGTGGATTGAGCCCGGGCCCCGGGTGGATTGAGCCCGGGCCCCCGGGCGGATTGGACCCGGGCCCCAGGAGAACGGGGCCCGGGCCCCGGTCGGACGGAGCCCGGACCCCCGGGAGAACGGGGCCCGGACCCCTGGGAGAACGGGACCCGGGCCCTCGGGTGGACGGGGGCCCGGAACCCGGGTGGATGGGGCCGTGCCCCGGGAGAACGGAGCCCGGACCCCGGGTGGACGGAGCCCGGGCCCCCGGGTGGATTGAGCCCGGGCCCCGGGTGGATGGAGCCCCGGGGCCCGGGCCCCTGGTGGATGGGCCCCGGAGCCCCGGGTGGACGGAGCCCGGGGCCCCGGGAGAACGGGGCCCGGACCCCTGGGAGAACGGGACCCGGGCCCTCGGGTGGACGGGGCCCGGGCCCCCGGGTGGATTGAGCCCGGGACCCGGTGGATGGGCCCGGGCCCGGGAGAACGGGCCCGGGCCCCGGGTGGATGGAGCCCCGGGGCCCGGGCCCCCAGGTGGATTGGACCCGGGCCCCGGGAGAACGGGGCCCGGGCCCCTGGTGGATGGGCCCCGTAGCCCCGGGTGGACGGACCCGGGCCCCCGGGAGAACGGGGCCCGGACCCCTGGAAGAACGGGACCCGGGCCCTCGGGTGGACGGGGCCCGGGCCCCCTGGTGGATGGACCCCAAAGCCCCGGGTGGACGGCGCCCGGGCCCGTGTGGATGGGGCCCAGGCCCCCGGGTGGATGGGGCCCGCTAGGGTCACCCACTTGCTCCGCAACGCGGATAAGTGGTATTTTTGATCGGTAGGCGTTTGGTTGGTCTTGTCTCCGTGGGCTATGTATCCATTTCCGTCGATTGCTTTTTGACGGCTAAACATTTTGGTTTGGGAAAAATATCCTTCGCATCGAGGTGTCCGTGCCAGATAAGCGTGCGTTCTACTATAGAACATGTCAAGTGTATTTTATAACATAGGTTGACGTAAGTTATTGAAAAATGAAAGCCAGCGATGAATCGCCATGTAGAGGTTTGGAACATTTATCTTTTTAAGAATGCTGTTGCTCGTCTTGCAAAAGCGATGCTTGGATCTTGGACAAAATTTAATGTTCTTTCCAACGATGCCATTCTCAATTATCAAACATATCAGGTTATGCAGCAAAACCCATGTAATTAAGCAAGTGGCACATGATGGACAAATACTATGCTCTCCAGTCTTTGTTCCACCTTGTTTTTGATCAATTAGCTTTTCACATTTTTTCATGAGAAGCGGTACATTTCTCTTGCCTCTAGGTGTTGTTTGAGTTCGCCCCGTCTGACAGTCACCCGAAAATGGTATAAGGTCCAAAATCCGTCTGAAACGTCAATTTTTAAGCAAAAGTGCCTCACAGGTGCACGTGGCGCGAGCCATTCCCTGCATCGCACACCATTCGATAGCCCGTTCGATTCACTACACGATACTGTGTTCCCCGTGCCCATCGGATCCACGGTTACCGAGATATTGCACGGGGACCGGACCCGTGTCGGGCAAATTTAACCATTTTCGCCCGATTTTGCAAGCCGACTTATACATGTAAAGCATATGACGCGAATTTGCACTTTTTGGGCATGGGCCATGTGCTCACTATCGTTTTAGATCCCCTAAAAGGCACGTTGTCCATCCTTGTTCTACCTATAAGTTGCGCAAATTTCAGCGCGCTAGGTGCAACAGTCTGCAGGCCTGCACCCCGCACTAAGTAACACCATGGAGTAACACCATGCCGGGACCTCGGTAACAGACAGAATCTACATCACCACATTACCACACCACAACAAACCCGGCCAAAGGCACTAAATGTCTGATATGAGCGCGTTAAAATTTCTTGTGAGCGAATTCGCGTAATGAAGAAGAATAATGGCACAATCTAGGTACTACAGCAGCCAATAGATGACTTTAGGACAGGCACATGGGACTACAAAGTACATATAACATATATTGTCCGACAGAAGCCGGCAACAGCTCCGTTTGCATATATGCTATGCATATTGCCGAAGGCGTACATTTCGGCCTCGAAAGATACGAATTCATACTTCATAGTAACAGTGCCTACCTATATTTCTGTCGTGGTCAATTTGCGTGGAATTTAACCCATTGATGACACACCGGGTGATTACCGAGCTATTGTTCTATCAAAATTTTCCGATTCAAACTCGCTCAGGGTTATCGGGCAGATAAAGGGGGCCCGCCCAGCAGAATGTGTATGAAATATGGAGATTCTGAAAAATGGGTGGGGGGCCCGCACACTAGGGGGCCCGCTTTGGAGGCGATGACCCCCCCGAAATGAAATCCTGGCTGCGCCACTGCGAGGAACCCTCACTAAATACATTTTAAGTTCATATGCATAGGTACCTAAGTTTCCAAGATCAAGATACAAAGCCAAAATATGAGGGTGCCCAGTGGCTACCGCTTTAACTTGTCCAGGCCCTAAACACAAAAATACTGGTTAGCGCTGATATGGTTATGAAGAAAATTAAAATCAGTTATCACTTATCAGGTTGTCTTCAAATTGATAAAAATGATGTTTCGCCATTAGAAGTAAGTAAATAATACTACCCGCAATATTTGCGGCCATTCCCTGAACTCACCCTCGCTTGTATTTGGCCTTGATGGTTAGAGGGCCTTGGTATTTTAATATTGATATTAATCCAGAAAATAGCACGCCCCGATATGCTGATTCTGATTCACAAATGCTCCAATCGGCCACAATCGGAGCCCTGATCGGCGGCCAGCTAGTACTCTTGCCGGCGCTCACACACAATTGCCTCCAATCCTCTGCTCAAGGCAATACAAATCAAAAAACATTTGACTTCTATAATGGGAATTGCAGAAATTGTCACTGGGACGCAATTTTTGGAACACACTTAAAGATATTTCCTTTATATGACGTCGTTTCCAAAAAAAAGCTTTGTTTCCTTTTTGAAATGATCTGAAAAGTTCAAAAACGAAAAATTTTTAGTTTTAAATGGAAAAAATACTCGTGTTGAAAACTTTTGAAGATCTTAAAGACGATTAAATAGTAAAATCTACATTTTTTCGCAAGATATATTTCATCATACAATTTTTCATGATTTTCAGTGTGTTCAAAACCGAATACTTGACATGAGTTTCCGTACTCTCGGCAGCTAGACGTCATATAAACTTTTTCAGCCAACATTTTTATCACATTTTTATGTTTTGTTCACCAAGTCAATATTTCATGCTATAAACTACGTAGAATATCACTTAAATTCTAAGTCTTGTGGTCACAGTCGATTCAATGCTGCTGATGAAGGGAACATTTACGTCATCGTAGTTGACAGAGTTTGATTAGTAGGGATTACATGAACACAATTCTATGAGCCGTAAACCGTGAGCCGTATAATAATAATAATAATAATCAGTGCTTTCCGCGATAACTCATTTTCGGACCTGCGATAACGGTAAAACGATAAGTAAGGTTTGCGATAACGATAAGCCTGGCAGCTACGCGCCCTAATCCAACAAGAACAAGAACAAGATAACGATAAGCGATAAAAATTTGCAAAAAATTAACAGCGATAGCGATAAAACGATAACGGTAATTGTTCTGTTAACAGCGATAACGAAACGATAAACGATACAACGATAACGATAATTGTTTTTTAACAGCGATAACAAAAGCGATAAGAAATACAGCTTAAATAAGTGTACTTTAAGTTTATTTGCAGATCTATACACTAAGCAGATGGCAACAGGTTGTACACACATACTGTCGCACGACAAACACTGTCAATCGTCTTCCATTTTTCCATCATCCCGTTTACATTTTATCGTTTATCGTTCATAATTTTTGTAACTTGCGATGAGTGGATGAGCGATAATTTTGAAAATTTAGCGATAAATGATAACAATACCTAACCGATTACTTAACAGCGATAATTATCGCTTAGGTATCTCTCATTCTATTGCATGCGGAAACCACTGATAATAATAAACGGGACGGACGCCGATTTCACTGGCGAATCCGAATCGAAGATTCCCTGAAAAGTTGTCTTTTTCTGATTATATTGTGGGTGTAAGGTTTATGACCGACTAACCCAAAATGTTGAATTTGAAATGAGAATTTTTTACAGTTTATCAAGCAGATTTGTCAAATAATTGAGTTTTGACTAACAGAAAAGAATCTTTTGTTTTAACCTAGGCATTTTAACAGTCATTTATGATCATTTCCAGCCTAGAGCATTATGTTTTTTTTTTGGTATACCTATAGGACCTTGGTTTTTATTTGCTTAGTCATTTAATTGCCTGTGCCATTGCCATTTGATCCTGATCCTGGATCATGCTAACTTGAACTGGATAGTGGAGACCTCAAACTACGGCCCGGGCATACAATCAAATGAGGTTACAGGGCCAGGGTCGGTACTTTCACCGGTTATTGATGTAACTTTTTGCAAAACTTGCAAGATCAGGTACCTAGCCTACAAAATTTGAACTGAAATAGGTACCTGCTGCAGCTGGACATAGTGAAGCTCCCTTGTGCTTTGTTTGTAAATCCTCTCAATTTTCAGGTGTTGATGGAGGCTGCATCTGATACTTTGCGTTGGATTGCTGTTGACAACTCACTGGCGAAGTCCATTTGGTCTGGAGCCAACCAATTGGCTGGCTACGCATCTTCTCACTGTTCCAGACAGGTGGGTGGCTGCACTTAGGGGCCTACCTTAGAGACAGTGTGAACTGTGAACATTGCAGCCATCTAAGCTATTTTTAAACTGCTCACATGATGTCTTCTGTGTTGTAGACTGCAGAGTCCTGTGTTTGTGATGTACTGAGTCAATGTCAGTTACTCAGCTTATCTGCTATGCATGTGTATGTCAGTATGTGCATGTCAAGTTCAAAATAACTTTTGTTTTGATACCTGCATTTAGGGCAGCACAAACAGGTGTTCAGACATGAATTGTGGTATTTGGTTAAGCATTTCACATCTTGTACACTGCTCAGTGCTCAAAGCTCATTTAGGCTACCTATGTTTCCTTGATCTTCAATTGTAACCATTTTGCACTATTACTACCAACAGCAATCAATATCAGATCAACATGACTGTTTATTTGCTGCTCCTCCCTCCCATAATAATGTATTTCCCTACCTTCTGTTGCCCCAGCCAGTAGCCACCCATATCACTTCACTTGCCCTCCTCTCCTGTGACTCAACTCTGACTGCCTCTCTCCAGACAGCTCCCTCCTCCCCCGCCCACATTTCCCTCTGACAGCACCCCTCCCCCACAGCCCCGTGGCCCGCCCCGGCCACCTCTCCCCCTGACAGCGCTCCTCCACGACTGGTGATACCGTGCTGCCTCTCCCTCTGACATCGCCCCTCCCCGACAGCCCCGCGGCCCGGCCCCGGCCATGCGGCACCCGTCTTCGCCGGTTCGCTGGCTGCTGGGCAGCAGCGGCCGCACCGCCGTCCAGCTGGCCGGTGTCTCGGGCGCTGCGGCCGTGGCTCTCGGGGCGTACGGCGCCCACAAGCTGCGGGCCGGAGACCACAACCCCGAACTGGTCCAGGTGAGGGCTGGTAGAGTCAAAGAACTTTCATTGGTCAGATGTTTTTGGATGCTGGGAATGGGGAGAGGGGGCACAGTGTGTAGTTGTGGAGGGTGGTGGACAGATCAGATAGCAGAAGGAAACAATTTTCTATGCGATATGTTGCCGTTAGGGAGCTTCCAAGAAACTGACCCCGCGTTCGCAGTCTCTCGGACAACGAAGATTCTACGCCGTCCGGCCAATAACGTTCGATAACCGCGGCCCAGCCCCCGTGGACCTCGAACGGGATTGGCCGGACGGCATAGAATCTTCGTCGTCCGAGAGACTTAGAACGCAGGGTGAATTGCACCTTGGAGAGAATACTGAATATCTGACAAAGAGAAAAGTAATGGTGGGAGCTGCTAACGTGGTTGTGTGATATGCGATTTTATCGATACCAAAACCATGTGTGTGTTTTGTGATTTATTCCCGGCGTAAACCTCGGACGATTATCTTTCTTACAACTGGAGATAACCATAAATTCCTCCACCGTCGGCAGGTATTCGACACGGCCAACCGTTACCACATGCTGCACAGCCTGGCGCTGCTGGGCGCGCCGCTGTGCCGCCGGCCCGGTCTGGTGGCCGCCCTGCTCTCCTCTGGCATCCTCGTGTTCAGCGGCACATGCTACTACTACGCCCTCACTGGTGATAAGTCCGTGAGGCGCTTCACACCGTACGGAGGTATGCTGCTGATTGCCGGCTGGCTGGCCATGGCTCTCTGAGCAGAAGGTGATGAGATCGCGGGCTATCGGCTTTAGGGATGACTGCGATGGGATGTGGTTGCGTCTGGTGGCACTCGGGTGAGTACGTATAGGTGGTGTCATCTGACGGTGAAGGGATGAAGTAAGTCAGGTGGCGCTATGATTTCTTTTTATGACTAGGGAAGCTCTATTCGGATTTGAGGGTCGATAGTTTTCTGAATTATACTGGCCCAGTAATATTCCAGGTATATGGATGGCTTGTAGGGAGCACCATGTATTAACTGCACTATGGAATACTCCAAACCTAACATATTTTATGCAAGCTTCCGTATTTTCTGCTCGTCTGCTTCAGTCTACTGCCCATACGATATTTGTACTCCAACTGATAGACTTTATTGCTTTGAGCCCATCCAGTCAAACAGAATTTTCTTTTCTACATTCTCTGACGATTATTATACGTTTCCTGCCGCGGCCTCGCCTACCACGGCCGGCTCCCTTTTGAACTCTCGAAATTCCGCGGAAACCCCAGCTGACAGCACTTGCCCCACACGCATCCACCCACATCCGAAAGGTCAGACTGTTTGTGGGCCCAGAGCTGTGCATTTTTAGCCGTCAGAGGCGCCCTGTGGTTACCTGCGCGGATGTTGTCACAGAAGCCACACGGATGGTGTGTGTGGGCGAGGAACGCTGAGCGTGTCCTGTAGTTGTCGAGAGGTGCGTCTGTGATCACGGGCTTTGTTGCCACTGGGAGCCCATTTGATGATATACTTGTGACGTCGAAAACGCAGCGGCGGCGGAACCGAACGCTGCGGCATTCGGATTTTGTGAAGAATGTGATCAGTCTTGTCATGCCTGTTTGTGTCGCGATGTAGTTCATCCAATTGCGTGCGAGGGATAACCACACTGTACTCGTGGCCGCGAAGGAACAATACACTTTCAGACCTTGAAGATGCACTTTGATGTCTACCGTGCCCAGCTGGTTGGCGAGACCTGCGTGATAGAATCTCAAGAGGAAGGTTTTTATCCCTTAAGTGTGAATTGACAATTGCAGGCTGTTTTTTATGCTTCGCTATTTATTTGCCGGATTGGGAAACGACAGACGTGTCAGCAGCGCTTACTGGCAAAGAACGCTACAAACATCGCGCGAAAACGTGACACCTACGAGCATATTGGCAACATATTCCGCTAGCACCGGTATGCCTTAACAGTCTGAGCAATGCTATTCCAAAATATAGACAACAAAGCCTATTTCTATGGCATCGTAGGCGAAACTTCAGGGGGCATTGAACTCCTCAACTGAAGTATCTGGTCAGCTTCGCAACGCTGAAAGTGAAGGTCAAACGGTCTGCTGAGCTGGACATGTGATGTCCAACAAAGCATTGTGAGTGCATTTGCAATGCAGCAGCATCTGCGAGCGATATGATCGATGGAAAGAGTTTTTATCAGTAACGGTTCGTGATTTGATGTTATCCACAGATAACCATTCTACCACACGTGTGTGAAATTGGGAAACGAAATATGTACTATATGGAAGGTAGGTAGAGAAATGCGTAACAATTCATCCAAACAACTGGGGTCTGACAATCATGACCAGATATTCTTCTAACCCGAAGAAAATTTTTACACACAAAAATGGCGCAATGCAACTCAGTTATTAAATTCAAAACGATTGATATAGCGCTACAACACCCGGCTTTTGCTTCAGCCCATCGCTGCAGTTATACCACCAGGCTGAGAGTGTACTTTGACACACGTAAATAGCAGTAGCACCATACCTCGTTACTGCGCAAATATAAATATGGAAGTAAATATAAGAAACCCGATACAATGCGTTGGAGACTGTGAATGGGACCACGTGACCCAACTGCTCCGCGGAGACTGCAGTAAGCTGCAAGACACGTAAATGACACCGGGCCAGGAATTGACATGGAGACTGCAGTAAGACACATGCCAGTAGCACCAGTCCTGGAATGAGCCGCGGAGACTGCATTGCTGACAAAGTGCCTAACCCATTACGCTGGAGACTGCACTAAGCACACAACAATAACCGCATCTCGCAGCTTTGCATCAGAGACTGCAGAATGGCATACGACAGTAGCACCAATCCTCGAATGGCCGTGGAGACTGCAATAGGATACAAGTCAACAACACCAGTCCGCGAATGCGTGACGGAGACTGCAGTAAGGCATACATCAATAACACCAGTAATAAGATGGCCGTGGAGACTGCAGTGCTAGAAAGGTGCCTAACCCAATAAGCTGGGAGACTGCACTATTGGCATACAACAATAGCACCACATCTCGCGGCTTCGCACTGGAGACTGCAGAAAAGCATACGTAAATAACACTAGTCTTCGAATACGGCATGGGGACTACAGCATACATCAATAACAACATGTATCACGACTGGTCCTTGGAGACCGCAGTAAGGCACACGTCAGCAGCACCGGTCATCTAATGGCCGGGGAGACGAGACTGCGGCAGGGACACAACAATAACACTGGTCCTCGTATACGTCGCGGAGACTCTGGTGCTATTTAGGTGCCTAACACCATGTATCGCAGCATTGTGAAATACACGCGATCATATAGGTAGTTGCGAACATCGGAACTGGAGACCCTGCAAACTAGTTGGCATTTGATCGCGACGTGGGCCACTGGACCATTACGGTTACTACAAAAACCATGTCCTGAAACGAATTGAGTGCCCGTAAACTCTTGGCCATGAATGCAAGATGTAACCATGCAGTTTCCCACAATTATCTGAAACGCCTGTTGTCGCCTGATCACCCTGGACTCACACCACTCAGCTCAGCCATTACGCCACCTGATTGCAAATCGTCGTCCGCCGCAGACCATGCTTGAGTAGCTCCGTTACATACAGGCAGAGAGGTCTCGAGCCGCTGCGGCCATGGGAGGGGTCCGAAGCAGATACTCCACCGCTGTGCAACGACCGATACCCACAACAGGGTCAGTGACGACACTGAGCGGCAAACGGTGTGAACGGCCCCTTAGCAGTGTTATGACACATCGCTGGGTGTTTAGAAGCTAGTTGATTGATTTTCGTCATGTGATGTACTTATATCCCTGGTATTAAATAACACATTCAAGTTGGCTTTCAGGCGAAGAAATGCAAAAGAAATAAATGGGCTGAAAAACTATCAACGCTTTTCACCTGATATAAACGTTAATATTAGTCGGATATGACCAATATTCTAAATTCTCAAGAAATTTTACCAGCTACCCTGTATTTAGAATCCGATATTATACATATGAGCATGTTCGCTTAGCATTCGTTGTGTCACAACTTGTCGCTCGAAGTGAAACTTTATCATACGAGGAAACCACATGAGCACACAACGGATTTAGCAACTGTTGGAAAAGAAACCAGTTATACGAACCAAGGGGCAACCTTCAGTTGAAATTTATTCTTATCTTATATTATACATCACAGTGTACCTACAATGGTACATGACATCACATCTTTACATCGACTCGAATCATGAATTCGCTCGAAACCTCCCGTTTTCATGACTGAGCCCCTGTGTCTCTCCGTGTCATCCGTGCATTCCGTTTTGTCCGACTCATGATACACTTGCACTGATTGACAAAACGGGGTCAGAGCCGCCAGTGTCACTGTGCAGCTGGGGTCACGTCCCGTGCACCGCTCATCCCGTCATCACCCCTATCAATCGACCCTGTCTCTGTTAGTGTCACTGCACTAGTCCGGTCCAAGGCCCAACAGGAGTAGTGGATCGGGCGCTTGACGCCTTTCTGGCCTCTCTCTCCCCTTTTCATCTCTCTCTCTCTCTCTCTCTCTCTCTCTCTCTCTCTCTCTCTCTCTCTCTCTCTCTCTCTCTCTCTCTCTCTCTCTCTCTCTCTCTCTCTCTCTCTCTCTCTCTCTCTCTCTCTCTCTCTCTCTCTCTCTCTCTCTCTCTCTCTCTCTCTCTCTCTCTCTCTCTCTTTCTCTCTCTCTCACTCTTTCTCTCTCTCTCTTCCTCTCGCTCTTCCTTTTCCTCTCTTTTTACATGCTGCTTATCCTCACTATCCTCTACAAGTGCTTTTTCTCAGCTATTTCAACCAGAACAGTCAATCATTATTCTCACGACATGTTTTTGTTATGGTCGAAACCCGCTGCAAATGGGTCATTTTTACAATCGATGCTCTAATCGTGATCTCATCAACGCCAAAATCGATACCGATTTGCATATCAGTCACCAATCAGTCACTAAAACAAGTGAAGTGCGACATTAAATGGCAGATGCACCAATAACCCGTGTGTGCACCGTATATTTGAAACGCTAAATGTTGCTAAACACACAATATTACACATGATAAGCGCAAACTAGGTTACGATAAAATGTCATATGATGCATTCGCATTAACATTTTTGAGGTATGCAAGGTAAACAGTGTTATTTGATTTGATGATATGATTTTCGACCGTCACCTCAGCTGGGACGCTCACGTCAGTGACGTGGTTCAAAAGTGCATGGGTCTCCTGCTGGGTCTCCGCCACCTGAGACACTTCCTCCCGCGGCACGTGATGTTCACCATTGTGGAGGGGCTGGTCATCTCGCGCGTGAGGTATTGTATCGCTGTTTATGGAAATGGTTCAGCGTTGAATGATCGGAGGCTGATGAAAGTGGTAAATTTCGCTGTTCGAATTCTGACGGGACTCAAAAAGTTCGATCATGTATCTCGAGCGCGGGATGACCTGCGCCTGCTCACGCCCAGTCAGATGTGCAGCGCGCAGACCGCAATCGCCGCCCACAAGGCCCTCTTGCATTGAGAGCCTGGCGACCTTGTCGAGCTGTTACGCACCCATGGCGAGACACGGGATGGTGACCGGGTGACTCGACAAGACCGTCGCCTGCGCCCGCCAGCCATGCGTACAGCAGCCGGACAGCGTTCATTTGAATATCACGCGGCGCACCTTTTAAACTCAATCCCTGAGTGTGTTGTAGAACTAGGTCCGGTGGGTTTTAAACGAGCCGCCAGACAATTTTTCCGGCGATAGAGTGATGAGGCGTTTGTCTGTGTGTGTGAGTAGTACGTGTGTGTGTAACTGTATGCGAGTTTCACTTTAACCTGTCTTTTACTGTGACATTAATGACCCCTTTTACTTACCATCTGACTAAGGACACGTAATAGCCACGAATTGTCTGTGGAGTGTCTGCTGTGGTCAAATACAAATACAAATACAAATGTTAGCAAGCACTCATTCACATCATGACCGTTCGGAATTCTGTGATACCTTTAGTTCCAGTCGACCCCTGCTGCCCGACACGGTACCTGACCACGTGACCTACAAGTAGGGTATTAGCACGCATCACGTGACAGTGTCAGAGGTGGCAGAGCGCGTGTCTCGTGCACGGAAGCGTGACGGCGAAGGACACCTGCAGCCTTCCACCCAGCGACGCCCAGCGGAGGGAGGGGGAGGGCAGGGGAGAGGAGGGGGTGACTGGAGAAGGGGCAGGACGTCGGACTGCACCACCTTTCTAGGGGTGCATTCAAGCGTTGAAAATTACTTCAGTGAAAGCTAGTTGGGTGAGTGCACTAAGAAGATGTCTGTTGCATTGCTTTGGTAACATTGTTGTCTAGAAGGATCAATGCATCATGTCCTGTACCTAATGCATTGTTTCGTTATCGAGTGTATGCAATTGCTGGAAATAGCATGATTCATAAAGCATGGTGTTTTTTTTCATAATATGATTTGATCCGGAAAAGTTCGAATAAAACATACCTATCTATTCTTATATTTGATTAGTTAGACACTAGCCGTTTTTACGACGGGCTATCCGGCGAGTGCACATAATTTGACCAAATTTGCACCTAAGCTCTTTTACAGCAAATACCTTTATATTATTAATTTATTTCAGTGTTATAATCGATGATACTCTCTGATAATGTGACAAAGGAGGCTTATAAGCAATTAGTGCTACCCTAAC